CGGGCTGCGAGAGGCTTCTGCAGAGCTGCCATTTCTATTTCTGGGCCAGCCCTGTCCTGTTTTCCTTGGACACCAGGTGTTTTCTAAAGGAAATGGGTCTTCCTTGCAGCCTCTCCCCCCTGAAATGCAGCTCCAGGTCTTTGCGGTCACCCGTGCCTGGGCCAGCAGTCCCTGGAGAGCTCCAGACCCCCTCATTCCCCAGGAGCACTGCAGGACTTGGAAGGAGTTTCTGACATGGCGGTGCTGCTGTGGGGTCACCAACCAGAACTTCTCCATCTCTGGGGAGTCCATGGGACTGTGCCTGTGTGGGGCTGGGGGAGATGCAGCCTCAGATGAAAGAGGGGGCTCTGATGGGAGCAGGGCCTGTGGCTCAGCGTGTGGCCAAAGTGTCACTCTGGACCTCATGCAGGGCAGCTTTGAAGGACATCCCACCACCTCTCCCTGTGCCCTCGTCTACTGCTTGACCCTCAAAGAAATAAAGATTTTCCCTGTGTAGCTATAGGGAAATCCATCTGGAATTTCCCATGTCCTCGCTTGTGGATCCCCATCCTCCCTCCCTCCTGTCAGGAGGGAACTGTGGAGAGCAGTACATCTTCCATGAGTGTTCTTTTCTGGCAGCTGAGCAAACCCAGGTCTGCAGGCAGGGAGTTGGTGGGGAGGGGAATGAAGGTCACACATCTGAGGAGAGAGGATGCGGTCCCTCTGGCCCTGGCCCCTTGACCTCCCCCGAACCCATGTGCATCCCCCCTCCTCCTGCTCCCTCCTCCTCCTCAGCACAGCACCAGCAGGGTGGGCCTCCTCTTCACACCCAGGGTTCATAGAAGTGGCCACAGTGTTAATCACTAATAGTAAAAATAATAATTAAGCCCCTTGGAATCTGTTGGGCCTTTAGGAACATCCATAACCTTCCAACTGATCAGAGTACTGTGTGTGCATTCCAAGGTTTGTGTGAGGCTTCAGACATTTTGGGGATCTTCTGAGCATCACTTCTCTCGTGGTGGGGTCTCTGTAGACAGCCGCAGGCACAGAAACCAGCCATGAAAGTCCCCACCATGGCATTAGGATTGTTCTGGGAGCAGCAGTGGTCAGGTCCTGCAGCCAGCCCACACACTGCTTTAAACAGCAGCCAGGGAACAGCAGCAGCTGGGGCATCCCTCAGCTCCCAGCTGGCAACAAGAGACTGCTGCTTGCTTGGCAGATATTTCAGCAGCATCCCTCCTTCAAAATGGTGTTTGCTGTGCCTGGGCAAGCCGCACAGACAGCTCCTCTGCTGGTTTTGGTGGAGCATTGTGGAGGATGAGAGCTGCTTGTGGCCACCTCAGCCAGGCCTGGAGGGTCTCAGCCTGGTGCTGATCGTGGCACTTGGGGTCCCTTCTCCTGGTGCTCTACCCCGGCAGGAGAGGCTGTCCCAAGGGGATGGAGCCCAGAGGATGAGAACACGAGGTGTGGGCAGCACGTCCATCCCTCCCAGGGCTCCCAGGCCGGGCTGTGCCAGGGCCCTGAGCAGCCCGTGCTGCCCCACACAGACCCACAGGGAAAGCTGCTCTCTGCAAAGCTGGGGATGAGCTCATGTTTTTGTGGGTGAATTATCTGTGTGATGAGTGATTCACCAGAGCAAAACAAGATTGGTGTGAGAAGCAGATGGGATTTTGGGAAGAGCTGTGGATGTGTGCAGGACCTGGACAAGAGAACTTGGTGACGAGATCCAGTCAAGACACTGGACAGGAATGAGTTTTGCAGAAAGAAGCTGTGGTTTCACACAAGGCCAACACCAGCTGAACTACACCAAAACTACTCCTGATTATAAACAGCAAAACCTTGTTCATCTGGGACAAATGAAGGGAATCCTTGGCAAAGCTGCTCCTGCGTGTCTGTCCAAGGAGAGCGGGACCCAAGGACAGCAGGTACAACTGAGCTGAGGAGCAGCCTCTGAACCCAAAGGTGTGCTTGGCCTGCTGACAAGATCTCTGAAAATGGTAAAATACATCAATGCTGCTTGTAAAACCCAGGAGAGCACCCATATCCCATCAGCACAGCTCAGAAGGCAATCTGAGGATATCCAGCCAAAATATGTACATTTATGATAATGCCAATGCAATAGGTCTTTATAAAAGATAACACAACATGTATGTTTAAATACCAAAGTTAGGAGTTAAACCAGGAGTAAGAGACAAGACCCAAAGGCAGAGGTGGCCACAGGGCTGAGGTTTGGTAGGGTTGTCACTCAAGTCTGAGCCACACAGGCCCAGACAGAGATGGAAGGTCTGGGTTTTGAAGGATGAGATTATTTCAGTTTGGGTAGAAAGCAGAGATCTTGGTGGACCAGCTCAGCAGAGGAAAGGGAAAGCTCTGAACTGAGCATGTGAAGCAGAGGCAGAGCCATTGGGGCAACAGGAAGATCCCAGCACCTTGGCACAAACATATTCTTATTCAGCAGAAAAGATGCCCAATGTAATTTATGATTATTTTTAAATAGAGCTGTTGCTTAACTCACAGAATAGCAGCATAATAACACCGTGGAGCTGGGTCAGCACAGGGATGCCATATGAATTAATAACAGAAAATAGCTGGTGCTCGCTCACTTCCTGCAATTTCCTCTGCTCAGTGAGCTCAAGCGGAAGATCTCGGCTCTGGCTCTCTGCACCCAGGCACGTGAGCAGGGCAGGCAGCACCTGACACAGGGAGAAAGGGGAAGACTGAGGGAATCCCTGTTCAGTGGTGTTAGAGTGCCAGAGCAGCCTCACACTGGTCTCAGCAGGCAAGCAGACCAAAGAATGGCGCTTAGAGGGACTAGAGGGACTCAAAAATCCCTTATCCAGTGAGAGAAACTCAAAGGTTAAAAACTCAATCGTTGGCAAGAAGGGAACATGAATTTCCAGGTGGGGATGATGCTGCAGGGTCCCCAGGGAGAGCCACACTCTGGGGTCAGTCTGGCCTGGGAATGGAGCACAGCTGAGCCCTTGGGGTACCAGGGAATCCCTCGGCCTGGGTGGCTTTGCTCGTCTCTTCCAGGTCAGGAAGAGATGCTCCTGGGTGAGATTTTTAGCATCATTGCCTGAAGTGTGGATGAGAAGATTGTGAGCTGCACAAGGCCTGGCAGAGCTGTGAAATACGTAACCTCCAGCTCCGGTGTCCATCCCACCGATGGCAGGGCCAGAGGACAGCGATGGTGTGGAGACAATGTGGCTGTGTGGACACGACACAGCTCCAGGACCCTGCAGAGCCCTCCTTACAGGGGCTGGATCTTTGCTGCAGCAGGGCTGGAGGGTCAGCAAGCAGGGCTGGGCAGGGTGATCTGCAGGGAGGGCATAAATCCTGGAGGAATATAAAAATCCTGAAAATCAGCAATGGGTGACAGGAGCCTGAAGGAGCCTGGTTAGCCCCCAGCAGCATCCTGCTGCAGCCAGGGCTGGGTGCAGTGCTGGAGCTGGTTTGGTTTGGTTTGGTTTGGTTTGGTTTGGTTTGGTTTGGTTTGGTTTGGTGCGTGTCTGGGGTCGGGGCATGGAAGCTGGAGGGCTCTGTGTGGGGCTGCCTGCTCATTTTGGCCATTTGCCTGTGGGGTTCCCGTCCTGGAGGCACCCACAGCACAGGGGGAAGGCAGCCTGGCCTCTCACATCTGCCAGGGGACATCCACAACTCTCACATCTGCAGGAGCCAGGAAACACGGACCAGGAGTCACCTGCTCAGGGCAGGGTGTCCCCAGCCTGTGGGGTCCTGTTTGCCTGTGCCGCTTTGGGGGCCACACCAGCCAGCCCACGGCCACGAGCGATGCTCCCAGAGCCCTGCAGCGCCCTGTCAGCACTGCTGGGACCCAGCGGTGGTGTCACCCCCGGCCACCACGCTGAGCCCGCCGTGTCCCCAGGGACTAGTGAGCGGTCCCTGTGCCCCAGAGGTCAGCAGGGACTGGGGGGCTGTCAGGAGACCCCCTCTGTTCCCCCGACAGCCGGTAGCCACGGATCCCAGGGGACGCAGGGAGCTCCATGGCTATTTTGGCAGTGGGAAAAAGCAGCGCCGGGGGAATTCCTGGCTGTCCGAGCTCTCCCCAGGCCCGGGGGCTGCAGGGGCTGCTGGCAGGGCCCCGCTCCCCGATGCTGCCCCACACGGGGCACGGGAGCAGCGGAGCCGCGGATGCTGAGTCACCGCGGGCCCCTCGGAACGAGCGGCGGGGCCCGGCAGGCGGCGGGGGAAGGAGCGGGGCCGCACGGGGGGCTCGGGGGGGCTCGGGCTGCGGGGCAAGAGGGGCTGTGGGGCGGGGAAGAGGGATGCGTGGGGCAAGGAGGAACGTGCGGGGCGGACGAAGGGGTGCGGGGGGGAGGGAGCGGGGCAAG